ATTTACTGAAAAATAGATCTACCCACTAAAGTTACTCAACTAACACTTTTCTTGAGGAAAGTAAAATATTTTACTTGGTGTAGCTCAAGGCTTGGTAGTGTACGGGTTGTGTTGTGCCAAGTGTAAGCAAGAAAGTACCATTAGTCATTTATATAACACAACTTCTAGAGTCCTCTTTTAACTCACACTTATCTCTCTTTGAAGAATATACAACAATGGATTTTTTCTCTCTCTTATCCATCGTCCTTCTCTTCCTCCTCTCCTTCGCTAATCCCATTCTCTCTATCCCTGATCAGCCATTAATCTCTCCTCTTGAGCTTCGTGGAGAAGAAAGCTGTCCTTACACTGTGATTGTCACTACAAGCTGTTTCTCTCCTGATTGGTCAAGGGATCAGATTACTATCGCCTTGGGTGATTCCGATGGTAACCAGGTTCGGTTTCAAACCTTATTGTATAGTTTTGTTGTGTGTTGTTTCAATTTAAAATTATTTTATTTTGTGTCATGGATGCATGTATAAAGTGTGTTAAATCCGGATAAACCAAAGAAACTTGAACGGAAATGAGAGCTAATTTGATTTGATTAAATTAGTTTTACCTTTAAAAATCTTAACTACACTCTAAAATCTCTTTGTAAATGAGACTTAATTTGAACAGAACCAAAAATGTTAAAATCCTAACTTCTACAAAATATATTTGAAAAAATGGGTTTTGTAACACACATCGTTCCATATTAATATTAGATAAGTTAAAACTCGGTTTGCATGTGTGCATTTTTAGTGATATACTCTTACACATGTGTATCTTTATAATAAGACTTATAATAAAGGGAAAAATCCATATAGTACTTTATTGTAAATTCGACGAGTTTTCTCTAAATATGTATTTTTTTTCTCTTGTGGTTTCGTAAGGTGGTCGCAGCAAGACTAGACGAACTAAGTGGAGGAGGAGGTTTCGAGAAATGTTCATCGGACACATTCCAAGTCAAAGGTCAATGTCTCAATAGTATATGTTCTGTCTACATCTACCGTTCCGGTCCCGACAGTTGGATCCCGAAGACCGTCGAGATCTACGAAGAAGGTTCCAAATCAGTGAAATTCGATTTTAACAAAAACGTTCCTGAGAACATTTGGTATGGTCTCAACAAGTGCAACACCAGTTTGCCACCGCCTTCGCCGGGTTTTCCTCCGTTTTCCCCTACCGTTCCACCGCCTCAGCCGCCTTATTTTCCTCCCGACGTACCTTCTATCCCGCCCCCACCACCGCCTCCGGTGCCGGCTGCTGCCTTTGGACGTGGAGGCGGTGAGAGATTGGTTG